CCTCTGGCCTGGAGATGAGTGTAGACCTCAGAGTCCTGGACTGATGACGATCCTGGCCTATTTCAAAATCGGAACATCTTCTCATCCCCCTTAACAACTCCCTGCTATCCCCCTCGCCTCAGGTCAAGAGTCTTGGTGTCATCCTCGACACCACTCTCTCCTTCACTTCACACATCAACAACGTCACTCGGTCTGTCTATTTCCATCTCAGAAATATTAACCGTCTCCACCCTTCTCTCACACCCCGCTCCACAGCCATCCTTGTGCACAGTCTGGTGACTTCTCGGATTGACTACTGCTACTTTCTTCTTTATGGCCTCCCCAACAAATCTCTCCAGAAGCTGCAATTGGTCCAGAACTCAGCTGCCCGTGTCATCACTCAAACCTCCTCCTATAACCACATCACTTCAGTCCTGCAGCAGCTCCACTGGTTCCTGGTTAAATCACGCATTGTCTTCAAAATTCTTCTTCTCACTTTCAAAGCTATCCACAACCTTTCCCCTCCGTACCTATCTGACCTCCTACACATCTCCATCCCCTCTCGCTCTCTCAGATCCTCCTCTTCACTACACCTCCATGTACCCTCTGCCCGCCTCTCCACCATGGGGAGCAGGGCCTTCACCTGCTCTGCCCCTCATCTCTGGAACTCTCTACCCCCTGACTTAAGAAACACCACCTCTCTTTCTCTGTTCAAGACTGCTCTGAAAACACATCTCTTTAGACTCGCTTATCCTTAACTCTGCTGTATGTATTTTATATTCTTTATGTACTTTATATTCTGTATGTATTTTATATTTCAATTTATTCCTGTTGATCTTTGCATTGAGCTTGTTTTTACACAATCTTTCTGATATGTTTCTTGTTGTAAAGTGTCCTTGGATGTCCTGAAAGGCACTTTTTAAATAAAATGATTATTATTATTATTATTATATTATAGTTCTTCATTTTCTGCATGTTAACGCTCGTTGTCTTTTGAGAAAACTTGACACTTTGAAAATTCTGGTCCATGGATTCGATGGATTTAATATCTATCGCTCTGATCGTCAAAAAAGGGGAGGTGGGATCGCTATTTACATCAGAGCAACCCTGGATTCTAATCTTGTGTCAACCAAAACAATCCCAGTGTTTCCCCTACCATTATACAAGCAGGGTGCCCCACCCCGTCAACAGAACTGAGCCCCCCCCACCCCCGGCACTTACATAGCGCTAAACTAGCATCGTGCAATACAGGCGCTCTAGCTAAAAAGCTAAAGGCAGCGCTCACGTTGCCTCTTCTCTCACATGGAACCCCCACCCCCACCACCACCACCACTCAAAAAGTGTCTGTACAAACAGCGCACAGCTCAAACGTGTCGCGCTAAGCTAGCGGTGCGCAATTCAGGCACTCCAGCTAAAAAGCTAAAGGCGCCTCTTCTCTCATGCTGAATGCCCTCCACACCCGCCCTCGCTCAAAAACTGTTGGTACAAGCTGTGCTCAGACATGTCTCTCTCCCCCCCCACCCCAACAAAAATCATGGATGAGATGATCACCCCACCATGGCAAGTTAACTAGGGGAAACACTGAATCCCAAACCAATTTGAGGCCTTAGCTGTAAACATCACTTTGAATGGAGGCCAGATCTTATCTGTAGTGGGTTGTTACTGCCCTCCCTCAGTAACACCTCCGTAACAGACTTCCTAGCTAATTTACAATTCAAAGAGATTTTTCTTGCTGGTGATTTGAATATCAATTGGGAAAAGTGGACCCTCCTCTGTGAAAGATTCAATAAATATTGCCTGTCACTTAATATGACCCAACTCATTGACTCGCCCACCAGACAGAATAAAAACTGTCCTGAAACATCTTCCATCTTAGACGTATTTCCAATATGCCTCATAAATTCTCCGGTATAGGTGTTTTCGCTGACGTTTTGAGTGATCATTGTGTAATAGCGACTCTCAGAGACATTAAACTTCCACATTCTGAGCCCAGATTAATTAAAAAAAGAGATTTGAAACGTTTTTGTGATTTATCTCACTTAGACTGGCATTGTATTCTATTAACTGACAACGTGAACTCTGCTTGGAACTATTTCCATAATAGTTTCATTTATTTTGTGAACAAACATGCTCCTTTTCGCCAGTTCAGAATAAAAGGACGAGACAGTCCATGGTTTACTCCTGAGCTAGCTGACCTCCTGCACAAGAGAGACCATCTTTGGGCCACAGCGAGAAAATCTGGCTCAAACACTGATTGGTTGAGTTTTCGACAGCTGAGGAATAAATGCACAACTTCCACCAAAGCCGCAAAACGTAACTACAGGTCCTTCTAAAAAAATTAGCATATTGTGATAAAGGTCATTATTTTCCATAATGTAATGATAAAAATGAAACTTTCATCTATTTCAGATTCATTGCACACCAACTGAAATATTTCAGGTCTTTAATTGTTTTAATACTGATGATTATGGCATACAGCTCATGAAAACCCAAAATGCCTGTCCCAAAAAATGACAGCAGCTTCGTGCACTCCGCCCATCTCGGACGACTGTACGTACATATTCGCGTTGTATCTCAGTGCAACGATAATAAAGTTTATTCTGATTCTGACTGTTTATGCTTTTTATTATTCCTTGACTTTTGACACAAGGTGATCTGATTTAGTATTTCATTGTTTGTAATTATGTTTTATATTTTTATTTCATGTGCTGTAAATATATCTTGTTTCTGTTTTAAATGTGCTCTATAAATAAATCTGACTTGACTTGCTCAAGTGCCCATTGTGGGGCAAATGAGGGTGGAGCAGGTGTGGGTGTTTCACCTTTTCCCACCCACATTTTGATGTCGTCGGCCGGGGAGTCGTACTGGCGACCTTCCAATCCCAGGCCTTCTCCAACCTCTGTGCCACCACTCCCCATCTTTGAAGACCTCATGAGCCTGGCAGTCTGTCCTGGTGGAGACAGGGCTCCACCAGGACAAGGCGGTGTTATCAGATTTTCATCAGTTTCTGTAAAGATCCTTGATCGTCTTCGTCCTGCTGCTTTTTCTCTTCTCAGTTGCATTTGATGAACCTATTGATGATGTCATTTCCTGTCTCCACAGTCGTCCTCGCACAAAGTCTACCGCCGACCAATCAAACCTCTGGATCTCCAGGACGCCCAAACCTGACAGCATGGAGGTGTGACATCAGAGCGATGATGTCACCAGACTTTTATTTTGTTAACTGAGCTAGGGTTTCTTACTGCCTGTTGGAGTTTCGTTCTTCTCTGCTGAAGATCCATCAAAAAAATAAATACAACCTCTAGAAATCAACTGAGGTTCTGCTGCAGGTCAGAGTGGGCGGAGCCTGTACACAGGCAGCCAATCGGAGGGCAGATTGGTTACTCTGATCAACAATTGATCAGCATCAAACAAGTGTAGAACTCAGACCAGCTTCCTGTCAGCTGGTTCTAATTGAATCGGTTTCAGAATAAAAGCATCAGTTTTAGAGTAAAACTGTCAGTTTAACAAAAAAAAAAAAAAAAAACACCTGAATTTTGAACATCGCCGTCAAGACTTTTCACTGTCAGTTTCAGAATAAGAGCTTTAAAATAAAATTTCAAATGAAATCTTTCAAAGTTTCAGAATAAAAGCATACATTATCAGAGTAAAAGTGCTTGAGGCGATCCGTTTCCATACAGATGGTTCTGTTGAACTCAGCTGGTTGTGATTGTGGATTTTGTCCTTTCTGCTGCTCTGTAGAACCACCATCATGTTGCCGAGCTCAGCACGATGGACGGTTCTGGCCCAGAGCCCGTTTAACTCTGTCAACAGAACTTCAGCTTATGTTAACTGTTGTCGGGTCGGTGGTTCTGAATGGATGTTCAGTGTGGTCCATGAATCTGTACGATGTTGTGACTGTGGAGGTTCTCGTGCATGAAAATGTTTAATAAAATAAAAAATGGACCGGAACCAGGCGTGTTCTTCAGTTACAAAAGAACTCAGTTTAGATCCGGATACAGCAGCTGAACAGAACCCTGGAACCAGCTGAGCCCAGAGTGTTCAGAAACCAAACAGTGGAGAGTTCTGATTGATGTTTTGGGTCAGAACCACTGGGCCAACTGGCACCAAACTGTTTATAAAGGGACATCAACAACATGCGACCCGAGTGGAAGATTTTATTCAAAGCAACCACAACTTTTTATTTTCAGGTCCACGTTCAAAGTGTCTTTGTTTAGCAGCTCAGACCAGTTTCTTCAGAACCGAGCCTACAGAACCACCAGCTGATGAAACAAGACCAGGAAGCAGCAATCAGCTGTCTTCATCTGGTTTCTATGACGAACAGTTTGTTGTGAGGCCCTCAGTGCGGCCTCAGGAGGCATCCAGAGGCTCGATGACATCATCACTCAGCGCAGTGTCACGTGACTCGTCTACC